CTGAATGGGTTAAAATACCTGTCTTTAAGAATTTTTTATTCTTCTGTTGGTATAGCTGTCAATTGTAGTTTTATTTCATCCTTTGAATTCCTCAGTTGCAAGATGTGTTTTTTGAAATGAGGTCTGTCTCTGTTGAATTTCTCATTCAGGTCACGAATTTCTTACTGATTTAGTTGAACTGTATTTTCTATTGGTGTCTCATTGAGCTTCCCTAAGATCATTATTTTGATTTTCTCTCTTTTTTAAATCAGATTTTATTGGTGCACTTTAGATATACATAATGATCACATTCATCATAGAAATCATTTTCTCTTAAGGCATTTCATAAGTTTCTTTTCCTTTAGGGTTGGGTACTAGAGAATCAGTGTGTTCCTCTAGGGCAGTGGTGGCAAACCTGTGGCACATGTGCTGTTTTTCTTTTAAGACAAAAGGTGTTAATGTATGAGTTGTTTTTTCTAAACTCAACCCTCAGTATTCAGGTTTAATTGCATTGTTGGCTCTTTATAATAGATAAGTGGGTTTGGCTCTATTTTATATTCCAGGGTGCTTGGTAGTCAGATAAAATAGTAGTATTAAGCTCACTGCTCCCATTACAAAATATTATGTCATTAATCTTCTCTTCTGGATGTTCAACAACTGAGCTATAGAGACCAAAAACTAGAAAGCTAGATGGGCTAAGAGGACAGCCAATATTTTGTCCCAAACTCTCAAAGGTCAGTGAGGACCCAGGACATGAGGGAACCTTTTCAGTGACATTCTGCAACTCTGGTGGGTTATACAAACTGCTGATCAAGGGGATTGTAGGACCACAGAGGATATAGATCTACAGTGTATAATGTGCCTAAGGAGAGTCACTAGAAGAAAAGGGTCTTCCAGGGTTTCACAAGAAAGCCACTTGGTCAAGCAATGACTGTGACTCATCCAGATGGCTGACATTTACTGAAGAACTAGAGGTGGTATACATGGTTCCAAGGTAAATCCTGAGGAGACTTAACTGACCTTGATAAATAGCAAAAATTAACTAAGACAGGCCTAACCTTAATTTGGTCTTAAACATCGAGCAGAAAAGTACAACCATGAGCTATAAAACAATTGCCAACTACACTACTAACTGATCACTGTTCTGGGATAATGCGCTGTATAGGATTAAATTTCTATATGCAGCGACTTAAAATCTTTGGACTGGGAATCTGTAGCCTAAATCGAGCAAGTTCATCTAGAGTGAAAAGGGTTTGAAAATAGAATGGTCTTCTACAGAGTCCTTCAAACACAGCTTCTCCATCTCCAATTGACTACCCATTGCTTGTAACTACAAAATAGAAAAGGGGGAGATGTGGGGAGCGGCTGAAGCTGGAGATCGATGTTGCACCTATGGCTGGAGCAAGGGCAGCCTCAAGAATACAGAGCACCTGAGTAAGTCACATGACAAGCTGCTCTAGTCTGCAGAACGCTGGGTGCCCCAGGCTAGTCACATGGATAAACTATTAGGCAGAAGGGTTTCATGTGACATTCAATCTCCCGAGCATATAAATAAATGCACTGCAACCTTTGGAGCCCTTTGTCCTTCTCTTCTTCCTTCCTTGATTTTCTTCCTCCTCCTTCTCCTCCCCCTCCTTCTTCCATCCTTACTTCTTCCATCAGGTGAGAGCACTCCACCTGGCCTCAGTTTTCTGTTAAAAAAGAAATAAAGGGCGCTGGGGATTTAGCTCAGTGGCACAGCGCCTGCCTGGCAAACTCAAGGTCATGAGTTCGATTCCTGGTACCAGAAAAAAACAAAAAACAAAAAAGAATTGAAATAAAAAATGAAAGGTTTTCCATCACTGCTCTAGTGGTGTGATGTTTTCCCGTTTGATCGTGTTTCTTGTTCTTTTTTCCCCAGTGTTGATATCTGCATATCTAGTGTAGTAGTTGCGCTTTTTAGTTATATGGAGTTGGTTCCCTTTTACCTTCTTCTCTGTACGTAGAGGCTTCTTCCTGTGGATGGGCATAAGGGGGTCAGCAGAGTGTAGTGTGTTGGGCTTGATTGTGAGCAGATGTAGTGGTGTGGTCTCTGGTTCTTCTTCTGTAACTCTTACAGTAACATTGGTGGCTGTGTTAGTGCCCTAGGGTGTGATGGGTGTGACTGATAGGGGGGCACAGTTTTGCTGGAGACAAGGGTGCTGCCTGGCTGGCTGTTGACCAGGCATGGGTACTGGCAGGCCAGAGACTATGTGGTGAGCTCTCCAGTGGGCAGGGATGCCAGCTGGCTGGCTTTTGGGCTGGGCTTGGTGTGTGAGTTTGTTGTGTGCTGGATGGCCATGCAGCAGGTATACTGAGGGGTAGGCCCACTGCTTGAGAGGCTCAGGCCAGGTGCAAGAGCAGGTGGGTGCTGTGCGCTGGCTGGCTGTGCAGCAGGCTCATTGAGGGTAAGGTTAAGGCAGCCCCCGGGCTGGCTGGTAGGCCATGCTTAGCGGTGCAGGGGGCTGGGTGACTGTGAGGTAGGCTCCTTGCTGGGGCAAGGCCACTGATGGGCTGTCAGGGTAGGTATGTGTTTGCACAGTTACGTTGGGCTACTGCAGATCTGTTGGCTTCCTTCCTGTGGATGTTGTCCTGGTCCCTGGGCGATGAGTTTCTGCATGGGTTTGGAAGGCAGATCTCAGCCTTTCTGCTGGGCCTAGCTTCTGAGCAGTGTGGATCATGGGCTGCAGCCACTTTGATGAGCATGATGGGTGGAGGTGGTCTCAGGAGTGAAGGTAAGACATGGCATCTAGGCCCAGGATGGGATGTACTCCAGCAGAGGATCCAGTTTCAAGCTGGTATTGAGCTGTTACAGCTTACGGATAGGGTGGAGGGTATACAGTATGAATCTCCACTCTGGCAATATAGCCACGTGAACTCTGAGAACCTGCAGAGACAAAATACCTGACTCCTAAAGTTAGGGGAGGAAAGATTTATTTGGCGTTCAGTTCATAAAAGTTTCAGTCCATAATCAGCTGGCTCTAAGGCAAGGTGACGCATGGCAGAGGAGAATCAGTTCATGGCAGCGGAAGACAGCAAAAGCAACAAAAGAGGGGAAGGGACAATCCTCTTTCTGTCTGTGGTGGATTGACTACTGGTGGTCAACTTGTAACACTCAGGGGAAGTGAGTCAGCGTGGTGCTGGGTGTGGGAGGCCCACCTGAGGATTGATGCCCACTGCCTAAGAGGCAGAACTGGAGAAGTAAGGAAGCAGTTGGAAGCTGTTGGGAAGCTGTTGGGAAGCTGTTAGGGGGCTGCTGGTTCTCTTGGGCTATTCTGCTGGAGGGCCTGGTCATGCTGGCTTTCCTGATGAACTTGGCTGTTCTTATCGGAGGAGGAGCTCTGGACCTTGGCACTGAGAATGGCTTTGATTCACTTTGGGGGAGCTCTGGTCCTCACATTTAGCATCGTTTCCTGGCTCCAGAGGGGAAGATGGTGCACTGCCAGTCTCCTGAAGAAGCTTGCTGCGTTGGCTTTCCTGATGGGAACTCAGCTGTCTTCACCATTGGAGAACTCGGGACCTCACTGTTGCTGAGGATGGCTGTGGTGCTTCTCGGGGGAGCTCTGATTCTTACTTTGTGCATTGCTTCCTGGCTCCCATGCAGATCCCTCAGCCTGCTGGCACAGATCCTTCATCCCGCTAACAGACTTCCTAGATTCCACCACTGACCTTTGGGCCTTTGCAGCACAGATCCATGAAACAGGCCTGCATGAGATATTATTATGGGCTCTGGGCCTCCACTTGGACTCGTGGGAGGCATTGTTATGAGCTCTAGGTCCTTAACTGGACTCATGTAAGACATTTCTGTGGGATCCAGACCCTCAGTTGGATTCCTTGGTCTTAGTAGATGGACAGATTTCCTGCACTCTTCTGTATATCATTCTTTGGGTGACTACTGTAAGTAATCATATAAAATATGTGTCCTGTATTATATTGTTTCCCCTTGCAAAATATGCCCCAAACTACAAAAGGGGACATTTAGACAGAAACCGTAACAGAAGCTGTCTAAACTGTCCCGGGCCTGTGTTCGCTGCAGAAGCTCCTGGGCAGTCATCTGCAGCAGCAGAGGGGGCTGTTGGGGTCTCCAGCTTACCTTTCCCTGTAAAGAGAAGTCTGTCATGGCTCCATGCTGGTCTGGGTGAAGGAGATACCGTGGGAGCTGCAGGATGTCTCTCTGTCCTCCTGATGGTATTTTCTTGGTGTTTTGGGCTCCTGGGGATCTCACTATTTCTCTGCTGCTCTCCAGCATACCTCTTCAGTCACTTTAGTCAGAATGCAGATGTTCATTCTTTGTTGTGGTCCCTTTGTGGTGGTGGTGGGCAGCAGCCAGCAACTCTCGCCAGTTACCTTGCTGATGTTGCGCCACGATGGTTTTCTGAGTCTTCTGAGCCCTCTGTTCTACCTTCTCAGCCCCTATTTCCTTCTCTCTTGAGATGGGCTAAGAAAGGTGGTATGTAGTGTTGGCTCAGGAGTCCCTGACCATGCTGCACCTGCTCCTGTTCCTCTGAGTGCCACGTGTCATGGGGCAGTTTGAAGTGCACTCAGGGTTGTCTAGGGATACAGTTCAGGCTTGGACTCGGAGGACAGATTTGCTGCTGGAATAGTGGCCAAGTTTTTGCTCAGAGATGATGCTTTTGACTGTTTATTTATTTATTTTTGTTTGTGTGGGTTTTTTAGTACTGGGAGCCAAACTCAGGACTTTGTGCTTGCCAGGCAGGCACTGTGCCGCTGAGCTCCATCCCCGCCCCGATGATGCCTTTGAATGGAGGAGTGGTCCTGTAGGTCACAGTTGTGGCCAGCATCCTGGTGAGGGCTTTGGGATTCAGGTCCTGCCTCACCTTGCCTGGCAGGCCCCATCCCCATGCTGCAGGTGATTGGATAGTGGGAGACACAGGTGTGAATGTGTACTGCTTATGGGAGAAAGGAAACAGGTGGTGGGAAAAGTGTGCTGTTTTCAGACTCGATGTGGAAATCCTTACTTCCCTCCTTTTTGTTCCTATCAGGATCCTTGCCACGGCTGGAACTGACTTTGACCTGCGAACACTGAGGGCTGTGCGTGTGCTAAGGCCCCTGAAGCTTGTGTCTGGGATTCCAAGTGAGTCCGGATGAGACAGGCAGGCCCACGCCTTAACCTGTACCACCAGCCTCCTTCCCTCCTCTCACCACAGCCCCTTGCGCTTGCTGCCTTGTGGTGGTGGTGGGGTGCTGGGGGTGAAATCCAGAACCTTGTTCGTGCTGAGTACACTCCACCACTGAGCCACACCTTGTCCCTTGAGCTTGCCTGTTGTGACTCCAGGGAACTAGGTGAGAAGGAAGGGAGGAACGGGCCTTTTCCAGCCCATCTTCACAGAGTCCTGCAGGGCAATCCTATTGCTTTGCCCTGGCTTGGCTTCTCTAGGTGGAGGCTTTGTTTCCAGGTCTTTGTTTCATCTTCTGGGGTAAAAGAACAGATGAGAGATTGACCAAGGTGATGCGGGCAGGACTCCTGGGAAAATATGCAAAGGCCGCAAAGGGCTACTTGTCTTGGCTCAGGCTGGGCAGGGCAACGGGGGGCTGTGATTGGACATAAGATATGTTTCTGAGCATGGACCACAGGGTGACCAGGGGAATCTTGCGAGTTACCCCAGTCCAGTGCAAGTTGGGTTTAAGTTTACCTAAGGGCCTGGGTGGGCAGGGATCTAATGTGGTGTCCTCATAAGGGCACTGCATTGTTCACTCAGTGTTTTACCCTGAACGGGCAAGGGCTCTGACCTGTATCCAGGGTTATGGGCTTATGACCTCCTTTGCCTGATTCCTGTGGCCTGGACTCACTCATGTCCTGTGGCCAGTGAAAAAATACTCTGGTTTTGGAAGAGAGTAGACCAGCCCTACCTTCCCCAAGAAGTTGGGTCTGTTAGGAACTGCTGAACTTTGTAGGATCCCCTGCTTTTCCCTCCCAGGATCCCCTGCTCTGGGATCCCAGCATTCTCTGCTCTCCCTTTTCAGGATGCCCTGTATTTTCTTCCCAGAACCCTTTGCTCTTAGCTCCTAGCATTCTCTGCTTTCCCTTCTAAGGATCCCCTGCTTTTGACTCCCAGCATTTTCTGCTCTTCCTTCCCAGGATTCCTGTCCTTTCCTCTCAGAATTCTCTTACTCTTTCTCTCTTGCTTCTCTGTATTTCGTTCTCTTTCCTCTCAGGATTTTCTGCCCTTGCCGTACCCTGAGTCTTCTATGTCCTTGATCTCATTAGCTCACACTCCACACCTGCTTCTCTCCCTACTTTGAGACACCACTCAGTCCACCTCCCTAGGACCTCATTCTTTGTCCCAGAGTACTCTCCAGTCTGTTCCATATGAGCATACTCCCTTCAGTCCTTCCTCCAGTATTTCCTGCTGTGCCCTGCTTTGAGTGCTGTCAGCTCTCCTTGCTCCCCATAAAGACTTACCACACAGCATCTTACCCCAGGACTCTAGGTTCTTGTCCCTTCCCTACCCATCTTACCCCTTCCCTAGGTTCTTGTCTACCTATGGCCTGTCCTGCTCCCTGCTTACTCACTTTGGTATCTGACCTTTCCTGCTCTGCCTGCTCTGGTCCCAGGTTTGCAGGTGGTGCTCAAGTCCATCATGAAGGCCATGGTTCCGTTGCTGCAGATTGGGCTGCTTCTCTTCTTCGCCATCCTCATGTTTGCCATCATTGGCCTCGAGTTCTACATGGGCAAATTCCACAAGGCCTGTTTCCCCAACAGCACAGGTGAGGTCCAGTAGCACCCCTTGGGTTTGGATGGGACCACAGATTCATTCATCCAGGAGATAGGCACTGTTCTAGGTGCTGAAGGTACTAGACAAGTGAGGTGGAGCTTACATTCCAGTGGAAGACACAGACAATCTGATAAAATACAAGTAAATAGGCACATAATTGAAATAATACAAATTATAGTGACTGCTAGGATGGAAACAAAAATGTATTTGAAATAGAACAATTTGGGGCCTGCTCTACAGTGTGGCCTCTTTGCTAAGGTGACAGTTGAACAGAACTCTGATAGTTAAAGCATGAGCTGTGTGCTCACCTGGCCAGAGATCTTAGGTACAAGGAACAGTAAGTTCAAAAGCCCCAGCTGAGGCACAGTGAGAACAGGGAGAAATCATGAGTGTGTCATAGCGAGGGTTAGAGAACATGAGTCTTATTCTGGGGAAAATAGGAAGACAGTGGAGGGGTTTGGGCAAGGTGTATGGCATCTTCTGGTCTCTCTGGTGGCCATGAGAGATAAAGGTGGAAATAGTTGTGTAGGAGGGAATCTTGGAGAGATGTCAGCCCTGGCTGGGGTTTGGTAGAGGTAGTTTGAGCAGTCTACCTTAAGTTACAGGATTTTCTGAGAATGTGAAGTATAAGAGAGATTGAATGAAGAGTTAAGACTGAGGTTTGTGGCTGAGCTGTGAACATACTGAAGGAGAAAACTCAAATGACCATCTCTTAGATCCTGAAAAGCTTTTCCTAAAATTTAAATCATTCATGACTTTTTTTTTTTTTTTTGTCTTTTTGAGACAGGGTCTCGCTGTGCAGTTCGGGCTGGCCTTGAGCTCACTTTGTAGTCCAGGCTGACCTCGAATTCGCAATGATCCTCCTGCCTCAGACTCCAGAGTGCTGGGATTACAGGCGTGCACTACCATGCCCAGTGATGATTTTTTTCATTCATGATTAAGAAAAGCCATTTTCAAACTGGAAATAACAGATAATTTTGTTGAATTTCTTAAAATTTTCTGCAGATATAAACTTTATTGTAAGTTGAGAGATTTTTCCTTTAAAGTCAGGAGCAAGGCAGGATGCAGATGGTCAGTTCCAGTCTATGCAGTTGTGGTGGTTGCGACCAGCGGCAGGAGACAAGAAAAAGAAGGGAAGTTCTGTGAAGAATTGGAGAGGAGGAAGCAAGCTGAGCATGTGATGCACACCTGTAGTCCTAACACTCTTGGAGGCTGAGGCAGGAGGATTGCAATTAGCAAGACCCTACCTTAAAATAAAAAATGAAGAAAGGGCTCAGGATGTATTTCAGTGCAAAGGCCTGCCTTGTGTTTAATTTTTAGTGCTGCCAAACAGACAAACAAACAAACAAACAAAACAAGGCAACAAAGCTTGTGATTGTCCAAAGATAATGCAGTCTACAAATAAATAAGCAATGGCTTCTTTATAAGCATTTATCAACGTATTTGGACAGAGAAAAATAAATATATGTGGTCAGTTTTGCCTTTTAACCCTGGAAGTATTTGCTTTTCATCCTAGCAATTCCTCAAAATTTCTTTTATGTTGATAGAAGGGATTTTCATGTGTTGTTACACATCTAAAAAACATTACTGCTTTTTTACTGGACTTTTGTGAGTGAAGGGGACATGTGTTCCACGTGAGGTAGCAGCAGTGTTCTGGTGTTTCCTACCGTCTCCACTCAGTCCCCTGGTGCTTGCCAGGATGGAGTTGGTAGAGGGCTCCCACCTGTGGGGCAGCGCAGAGAGGCCTGGCTGGAGGTCCCAGCCTCTGTGGCCACAGGTTGGCTGACTCAGCTGTCCTGCAGTGGTGGAGCCCAGCTTGGTGACCAGCACAGCGTTGCTCCCTGCAGAGTGACAGTCAGATCTGTGTGTCAGGAAGCTCTGGTGCAGCTCCTGTGCAGGCAGGGAAAAAGAAACGGGTAGTGGTGGTAGGAAGAGTTTGAGGCTGGTGGTTGGCTTGTCTGGTTCCAGAACTAAGGGAGAGACTGACCAGGGCTGTCTGAGAAGGCTGACTGCAGGCAAGAAGAGAGATTTAGTGCAGGTCCTAGGGAGAGAGTGGGGAGGCTGCTGGCTTCCGGTCACCTGCATTGAGCTCTCCAGAGCCCCAGAGCCCTAGCTGGGGTAGAGAGCATGGTACTCTTCATTCTCCTCTTCATAGATGCGGAGCCTGTGGGTGACTTCCCCTGTGGCAAGGAGGCCCCAGCCCGGCTTTGTGAGGGCGACACCGAGTGCCGGGAGTACTGGCCAGGACCCAACTTCGGTATCACCAACTTTGACAACATCCTGTTTGCCATCTTGACCGTGTTCCAGTGCATCACCATGGAGGGCTGGACCGACATCCTCTACAATGTGAGTTGCCTGGGGGTGGGCTTTACCCTGATGTCCTTCATGATGGGAATCACATCTCTGGAGCCCTTGGGTTGTGCTCTGGGGTCCCATTTGGAGGCACTTTCAACTAAGACCCTTTGCTTAGCCCTTACCCCTGCCCCTCCCTAAGATGAGCTGTAGGGCCCTCATCCAGAAGCTTTGTCAAAGGGTTCCATGGTCAGTTTTGGCCCTAACTCTAGCCCCAGGTCTTTCTAGGGGCTCCGGCTAAGGGCTGGGGATGGAAGTCAGCCGAGAAAAATCTCAGAGAAGATGCTGCTGATGTTGAGGGCGGTGGTGGCAACAGTGCCACAACTGTGCTGCCTGTGGGCCTGCTTCATGGAGACCTGTTGCATGGCGTCTGTGGGATTCACTGTGAGGATGGTGCCCTGGGGTCACAGAGAGGCTGGGGAATTTTCTGATCTGCAGGCAGCTCACTGTGAACCACAAGCCACACCAGTCTTGCTGGGGACTTTGGGGTGGAGTCGGGGCCAGTGATGCTGGGGGTCTCTTTGGGTCTAGGTTGCAGGTGAAGGTGAGGAGATCAGGGCGGGGGCTTAGGGTGGCACAGAGCTGAGGCCCAGGAAAAGCCCTGGTCATGCTGTGTCCTGGGTGGGAGCCCGTGTCTTGCGCATTTGTTTCCTTCTCATCTGGTCTGTCTGGCATCGGTTCCTCTTTGGTCTCCTCCCTCTCTTACCTGCACCTGGGTGTGGTGGCCATGGTGGAAGACGAGGGTCAGACTTGTCTCACTCCCACTTTCCCTCTACCTGGGTCTTCTTGGTGAACACTGGTGACTGTTTGAGGTGAACACCTCCCTTGCCCTTCCTGCGAGAGGTTTGTGAGCCACTCGTGTGAGAACAAGGAAGTTGGTGCTTCGGGGGCTTTGGAAGGTTGAGAAGGAAGTGGTCTGGCTTGTGGGCTCTAGGTAGCTGGAGGTTGTGTTCTGCTTGGGTGTTTGGGTCGTAAGGCAGTGCTGGGGCACCAGGTGCTGTCCTCTAGAGCTAGTCTCTTGTGCACTGAGGATGCTTCTTGAGCCATGTGCTCCTGGGGCCCTGAGTGTCCTCATGGCCTCTGTGTCTGTGACGGCTAAGGAACAGGAGGAAGGGGTGAGGCTGGGACCCTCTGTTCTGTGCCTTGCTGTGGGTTTCCTGGGGCCTCAGGCCACTGTGAGGCCGGGCACTCAGCAGTTACTTGGCAAATGCTTAGGGGGCTGATCTCTAGAACCTGTTGACAGGTAGAGGAGGAGTTAGGGAAAATGGATGTAGAGTACATGAGCCAGATTCCATCTCAGCTGAGAGCTGTGTCTGATCACAGGCTTTGTGTGATCAAGGGAACAGGGAGCAGGGATAAAGGCCGTGAAGAGGAGCTTGGCTATTCTCTCTGTGTAGCCATTCGAAGAGAAATTTTCACAAAAGCAGACCCTAAAAATAGCTCTGAGCTGGCCATGTTCCTGCCAGCCCTGCCCAAATGAAAGACTGACTAGGTCTCTGTGGCCCTTAGTGACTCCTGGGGCTTAGCTAGTGGCTGTAATGACTCAGATGCCCCTGTCTTTGTATAGGACCCCCGGGAGGGGGTGGGCAGGAAACAGATCCTGGGGCTGGAGGCATTGGCAATGAAAGGGCACAGAGATTTCGGTAGGGCCCACGGGAACTGAGCACCACTTGCACAGGGCTGAGCAAGAGGCGTTCAGCACATAGGCCCCAGATAATGGCAAGTGCCATGGAGGAAACAAGGGAAAATGAAGAACGGCGGGGTGGCCAGTTAGAGGGCCCCGAGAGACAGGACATGGAGGTCTAGAAACCAGACATATAAATGGTACGGGGTGGTGCCTTGAAAGTTTGGTGGGGGCCCCAGGGAGCAGTAGTGACAGTGAGCTGTGAGGCTGGCAACATGCAAGACCAGAGTGGGTGGTAGGAACCGGTCAGTTCCACTCCTCCTTGCTGTGGGTCAGTGTTGGTTAGACAGGAACTTGGAGAGGATTCCCGGGAGAGGGGCTTTGTGGTCGCCTCAGCCAGATGATCCTCCAAGTGGTGGTGCCTGGGTTCCTTGTGGGCAGAAGCCACGAGCCTGCCTCAGGGGTGGAGAAATAGGTGGGGCAGGGCCCCGCCTGTTGTCAGGGGAGAGAGGGTGACCAGGATAGATCCAGTCTCTGCTGCAAAGTGGGCAATGAGTGGAGAAGGGAAGCTGCTCTCCTAAGCTTGGAAAGGGTGTGCAATCTGATGGGGCTGTGGAACTCGGAGAAGTGCCTTGTGTGGTATGAGTCAGCAGACACGCCTGGCCAGCCAGAGAGATGAATATCCAAGGACAGCAGCGTGCAAGAAAGAACTGGCCTGCTCCCTCCTCCACCCTCCCCTGCTTTGCCTTTTTCCCACTGAAAGGGCCAGCTGTGGCAGGCCCGCCGGGAGCAGCTGTCCACGAGCAGCATGTGACAGTTTGACTCCCAGCTGGGGCTGGACACTGTGATTTCCGAATTGAGACTGTTATTGTAGGACGTTCTGTTACCCGAGAGTTCCTAGAAAGGCTGTGGGACTTGTTTTTAAACTCTCTTCTAAGGATTCGAGGATTGCTCCCCTGCTGTGTGCGAAGGGGCGGTGAGAGGTGGATTTCAGTTGATGATTCAGATCTGTTCATATCTGAGGAGAGGAGTGTTAAGAGACAGAGGTGTGATGCTAACACAAACTGGACCTGCTCCAGATTGGATAAGCAGTGTGAGAGAAAGAGAAGAATCAAGGATGGTGTGACTTGAGCTCCTGGGGAAGGAGGTGCCATTAACAACAAGAGGAGAGCTGGGTGCGAAGCACTCTTCCAGTTTTGCTCTAGTGAGGGGCAGTGGTGAAACTCCAGTTTCGGCTCTGTAAAGTTGTTAGTCACTGTTTCCATCCAGGTGGAGGCATTGGGCCTGTAAGAAGGAGCTCAGAAGGGACGGCAGGGCCAAGGAGGCATGTGTGAGGTCACTGACACATGGACAGTGCTTAAAGTGATGGGCCGGGTGAGAGCAGCTGGTTGGTGAGTATAGGGGAACTGCAACATTTGGAAGCCAGGAGGAAAGAAGGAGCCAGCAGAGGAGGCTGTGGTGGCGCTTTTAAGTGGGTGGCAATGACATTAGCGTGTCCTGTGTCCTGGAAGCAGAGCAGTTTCAAGGTGGGAGACCCCCTGGGCCCACTGTTGCAGAGAGGCCAAGGACAATGGGAAGAGAAACCCAGAGCATTGCATTTGGCAGGAGGAAGTTGTTGGTGGACTGGACATGAGCAGTCTGGGTGGTGGAGGTAGGAGGTCCTGGCGGGGTGTACCCTTTTGAAGGAGCCGAGCAGGTGGAGGCAATCCAGGGAGGTTGGACTCAAGGGAACTGGAGTTTTAAATTAAAGAAAAAAATTTTTTTTGAGAGAAGGTCTCACTATGCAGTTCAAGCTGGCCCTGAACTGTATACCCCAGGCTGGCCTCGAACTTGCAGCAGTCTTCCTGCACCAGCCTTCTGAGTGCTGGGATGATAGGCATATACTTTAAAATTTTGAGAGATTCATGTGGACTTGTGAATATAACACAGAAGAATCCCGGGCTGGGGATATAGCTTAGCAGCGCAGCACCTGCCTGGCAAGCACAAGGTCGTGAGTTTGATTCCTGGTACCAAAAACGAACAAAACAAAACAAAACACAGAAGAACCCCATGTGCCCATTGCCCTCGTTCTCTGCTGACCCACAGAACCCCAGCCACTGCCATGGTGATGGTGTTGGTGCCCACACAGTTGTGCAGGTGCCCCTCACCGCAGATGCATGCATGGCCACCTGTCTCTCTTGCTTCCTCCTTAAGAGGAAGTACGGCTACCGGTCTGTTCACCAGTCTATAATTTTGGCATTACGTAGATAAAACTGCTTGCTGGTGTTGCAGTTTTTCGTAGGTACGGTTCTCGGGAGATTGGCCCGAATGCTCGTGTGTGTGTTTCATCCTCGCGTTCTCTGGTGTGTGAATGCCCACAGTGTTCATCACTGTTGCTGGATTCCCTAGGTTGTTTCTAGTTGTGGAGCTGTTGTATACTTTTTTTGTGGTATTAGGGATTGAACCTAGGTGTATCCTCAGCCCTTATTTTTATTTTTTATTTTGAGATGGGTCTCAATAATTTGCTAGGTTGCCCAGGCTGGGCTTGAACTTGCTATCCTCTTGCCTTAGCCTTCCAGAGTGCTGGAATTATAGGCGTGTCTTACTACATCCAGCTAAATTGCTGTGCCTAGGTTTTTATTTTTCTGGGACAAATGCCCAAGACTGCAACTTGCTGGGTTGGTAGTGTTGCATGTGTAGTTCAGAAACTGCAGCTCTCTCAGAGGGCTGTGGCTTTTTACATCCCACCTGTGGCGTGGGAACTGTCTTCCTGTGTCCGGCCAGGCTGTGGTGGTGATGCTGTGCAGGCATTTTTGCCACCGTGATGGGTGTGGGCAGATAACATCATTGCAGTTTCTCCCGATTCTGGATGGTGATGATGGTGAACATCTCCCCCTGCTCATTCACCATCTGCGTTTCTTCTTCAGTGGAGTGGCTCTCCATATCTGTGGGGACTGTCCTCTCACTTCAGAGTTTCTGTGGTCCCTTATGGAGTTAGGTGCAGGTTTCTTATCAGGTAAGTAATTTGCAAATGTTTTTTCCTTGTCAGTAGCTTGTCTATTCGTACTGTTCACTTGCTCTTGCACAGAACAAACCTCTTTTTATGCCCTGCCTTTGTGTTCCCTCCCTCCCTCTCTTTCTCCCTTCCTTTTGTAATACTAGGGATTGAACCCAGGCCTTTGCACTGAGCTACACCTGCTTTTTTTTTTTTTTTCTTTTCTTTTCTTTCAGATTTTGAGACAGGCTTCTAAGCTTCCGGGCTGGTCAGGAACTAGGTGGTCTTCCTGAATCAGCCTCCCAAGTAGCTGGGATTATAGGTGTGCACCACCATACCTGGCTCATTTTTAGTTTTGATGAAATCCAGTTTTTTAGTTTTTCCTTTTGTGGGTTGGGCTTTTAGTATGAAATCTGAGAACTCTGCCTAGTCCTAAATCCTGAAGATTTTCCTGTGTGTCTTTTTCTTAAACATTTCCTCTACATATCTTTAGAACCACATTAGACAATGCTATAGTTTTTGCTCCAGCCATCAAACATAATTTAGAAAAGTCAACAGGAGAAAAAAAAAAAGTATCTGTAATTGTGCTGTTTCCTTGTTTTTCTCCCTAATTGTCAGTGATTCTTTTTTCATCCTTTTCTTTCTATTTAGAGACATTTTGTTAGCTGTGCTCTGAGGAGGGCTCTGCTGGTAGTAAATTCTCCTCCTTTTCCTAATTTTTCATCTTAGGAGGTCCCCTCAAGGACATTTTGCTGGGTATGCATGTTTGGGTTAACAGTTCTTTTCTTTCAGCTCCCAGAAATGTTGGGCCACTTTCTTCCACCCACTGGCTTCTGCTGAAGGGAATTCTTTAGAATCTTTTGTTGTTGTTGTTTTGAGACAAGGTCTCCTGTGCAGCCTAGGCTGGGCTCAAACTCACTGCGATCTTCCTGCCTCAGCCTCAGCCACCACTCCCTGCCCTGGAATCATTTTCCCCTGTAGATAAGGTGTCATTTTCATTTGCTGTATCTCGTGGATTACTTTATCCTGTTTAGGGTTTGCTCAGCTTTTTGAGTCTGCAGGTTTGTGTCTCTTGCTAAGTTTGGGGAGTTTTTAGTCATTATTTCTTCAAGCACTCTTCAGTCTTGTCCCTTTTCTCCTGTCCTCTGGGACTCTGATATCACGAATGCGAGATCTTTTGTTAGAGTCCTGCCCTGCCCGTTTCAGAGTCCCGCTCTCTTTCTGATGGAGTTGTTTCTGCTGTTCTTTGTTCTCTCCTGGTGTTTAGTAATTCTCGTGATTCCTTCATTCTGTTACTGTGCTATGTATTAAAATGCTAATCTTATTTTTTAAAAAAACCCAAAACCATGCTCATAGCAACACCCAAAATAATGTTTGCCCAAATACCAGGGAACCTCATGGCCCAGTGAAGCTGGCCTACAGAAGTGACCATCACATCATCTCTGGATTGGCTTTTCTCCTTCAGCTTGTATTCCTCCTGTTCTCAGGATGGTGCCGAGTTCCCACTGAGGACTGGACATTTTTGATATTATGCATCTTATAAAAGCCTTCTGCTGTAGCTGGCTTCCTCTGGTGTCGCTCCATCAGGAAGACACTGATGCTGGTCAAGAGTGTGTGGAGGTCACTGGCCTCCACTGGTGGAGGTCATCTCCTGCTGTGGGGCAAGGGCGTGGACATGGCTCCTTGCGCCTAAGGACTCTCCCAGTTTGGGAGGGCTAGGTGTGGCTCCTCCGTGCTCTTTCGTGGTCTCTACAGGCTGTGTTGGGGGCCACTCTTGTTGCTGTTGGATGGTGGTGAAAGTCTGAAGTGCCCATCGGTTTCTCTGGTAGCACCTTAGAATGGAAGAGGAGGTCGCCTTGTGACTGCGGGTGGGACTGGATGTCTGAGTCCTATGTGGTCTCCACAAGTACCAGAGATGGGCCAGGGTGGGGTCCTCATGAACCATGAGGTGAAGAGGAAAGTCCCAGTCCCTGCTTTGGACAGCCACCTGGTTCTGGTCCTCTCCAGGAGGGTGGGATTTTGGGTGTGCGCTGGGTGTTTACTGAAAAGAGTGGGTGTGGCACTGTTGGTTTCCCTGTGATGTTTGACCTTTTAGTGTAGCTGCGCTGACAACTCCCTCTGGTGTTTACCATCTTGCTGAGCTGCCCTTCTGGCCCTGTGGTTAGAGATAGCTGGCTCCTATGGGAGCATTTTTTGTTCGTGTTCATTGCATTTCCAAACTGCAGGCTTCTTCAGCTCCAAGCAAAAAGAAAAATCTGGGTACTCAACCCCAGATTCTGAGGTTTCTGCACCTTTTGGAGTCTTTCCGTGTTCGCTTTATATATGATGCTCAGAGTATGAATTGTACTAGGTGAGAGGAGTAGGGGAGAGGTATATGTCTACTCCATTTTCCCAGAGGCGGAAATCCTGATTTTTTAATTTTTATTTTTATTTATTTTTATTTTTTGGTCTTTTTTTTTTTGAGACAGTGTCTCCCTATGCATTTCAAGCTGGCCTTGAGCTCACTTTGTAACCCAGGCTGGCCTCGTACTTGCTACAATCCTCCTGCCTCAGCCTCCTGAGTGCTGGGATTACAGGCGTTCGCCACCGCGCCTGGCTCAATCCTGAGTTCTTTGAAGAGCAGAATATATTTATTGGGGAAAAAAGTTTATGTCAGAGAGAGAGAGATGGAAGGGGTCCTGAGTGCCTGATTTTTTTAAAGATGAGAATAATGAGAGTCACCTGGCTACTGTAGGGAATGACTCTGAGAAGGGAGACTTTAGGCTCCTAGAGCTCTAGTAGGCAACGGGGCAGAGGCTGCAACAGTCACTGTCTCCTCTCCCCAGAGGAAGGCAGCCTAAGGGGGCTTGCAGGGAGGTGGTGGCTCTGGTGACTGTCCGTCAGGTCCACAGGTCTGTGGGGTTGCGTAGAGGTGTAGTCCAGGAACATGAACCTCAGAGTTGGGATTCTCAGTGTCACTTTTCCTGGGGATCCAGGGGTTTTGACGACCAGTCTGAGTCAGTGTTCAAGGATCAGAATCCACAAGCTCCAGCCAGACCAGGGACCCAGGGCCCTCCAGGCATGGAATCTGCAGATCCTTCCAGGGCTGGCTGACACCAGAGGACAGCCTATGGAGAGCAACCCCAAGCTTCTGGCAGTGCTGGGCTGTCCTCCTGCCTCTGTCCTGCTGGGGGGCCTGGCTCTGGCTTGGATGCTCTGAAGGGAGATGAGAAGGGCCGGGTGGTGCCTACCCTCTGTGCTCCACCCCCCACCCCTGTTTGCTCTAGAACTGGACTCCCATGGAGAGAAATTCTCCACCCCTTAGCCAAGTCTACTGGAATCCATACACAGTGGCTGTGGAATCAAATTGGATTCGGAGAGCTGTGCTATGAAAAACAAAGTCTGGGGGAGATGGTCTTCTTTGCTTTCAGAAATTCACATCATACCTGGGCACTGTGCTGCCTTGGGCCAGGCACAGGGTAGAGCTGTCCCCTAGGGCTCCTGGGGAATACAGCAGGGTCCCTCAGGGCTGCTGAGTTGTGGGAGCAGCCTCTGACAGGTGGTTAAACACGGGCCTTTGCGCCTGTGGGGCTTCTTGGGGGAGATGTCCTCGTAGCTGCTCAGGGAAGCAGTGAGTGTCGGACCAGGCAGAGGCCAGGCGTGCAGCCCTGAGCAGTCATCTGGCTCTGTGGTGGTTCTGCACTTTTTGGCAGTGCTGGGCAATGGCAGAGGGCTGTGTGTCTCTGGTTCTGTGGAATCTCCTGCCCAGGGAGAACCCATGGGCTAAGTGTGGACTCCCTCCCTGGATCATGTGTTTGCTGCTAGGCCTGTGAGGGCCCAGGCACACTTTTGTGGCCAGGGATGTGTTCTGCTTGTCCTTCATCTCCTCCTTGCTTCCAGACAAATGATGCAGCTGGCAACACCTGGAACTGGCTCTACTTCATCCCGCTCATCATCATTGGCTCCTTCTTCATGCTCAACCTGGTGCTGGGTGTGCTCTCAGGGTAAGAGTCTGTGTTCTCAGGTATGGGGCAGGGAGGAGTCATATTTAGGCTCCTGTTTTCCTGGGTGATAGTGACCTTTCCTTTGTGCCATCACTCTAAATGCCCTTGACTATTCACTGGTCTCCTTCCCTCAGTTACATGCTTGGCCTCTGCCCTGCTTCTGCTGTGAGATGGGGGCCACTGCTGCATCTCAGCAGAGGGTGGTCTGTGCTGGAGTTTCAGGCAACCACAGGGAGCCCCTCTGTCACCACAGTGGGGTACAGACTTGGCTCAGAGTCTTGGCTCCTCCCTATCCCTCACCCTCTGCTCAGGTCACTTCTTTGTGCTGAGCTCCCCCAGGAGGGAGCACAGGGCTGGGAGTCTTTCCTGAGAGAGGTGTTCCTGACCCTTCCCTGGGAATGGGCTGTGGGGTGGGCCTGGCAATGGGCACACGGCACCCTCCTGACCCTCCATGGGGCTCGTAGAACTCACACAGGACTAAGGAAGCTGTGTTGCCCAGGGGTGGCAGGGTCAGGCCTGGCTTACTTCTGATGGGTGCACTGTCGGGGGAGAGATGTGACCTGTGCATTGAGACTGCCTGCCTGTAGACGTCTTCATTCTTCCCACCCTGAAGACCCCTCTGCCGGGGTCTTCCTTCTGCCTACCCTGGAGACCCCTCCTAGGACACTTGGGGAGGGCTTGTGATAGAGCCTGGTGGCCCCAAGGGGCAGCTGCCATGCTGGCCTGGAAAGGAGCAGACAGAGGACAGCGACTGGCAGTGGCCCACATGCCCTAGTGCTGGAGCAGCTCAGAGCCTTGGTCCTCTCCAGTGTGGCCTGATTGTTACTAGTGTGTCTTTCAGTGCTCTGCAGAAACCTGCTGAGTCCATAGTAGAGCAGGTGGATAGGAACTAGTCTGCCGGGGAAGCCAGGGGCTCAGAGAAGCACCCAAGGAGGGGGCACCTCAGCTGAGACCCAGGGAGGAATGAGTGAGGTGGAGGAGGGAGTCTTCCAGTCAGACCACGGCTGGGCTGGGGGCTCAGCAGGATGGAGAGATGTGCCACGTGTGTGCTGCAGGCATAGAAAAGCATGACATGTAAATGGTGTGCATTGTGGGAATGGAGAGGCATGGCACATGTGTACTGTGGGTGGAGAGGCGTGGTGTGTGCACTGCAGGGGTGCAGAGGCGTGGCTCGTGTGCTGCAGTATGGTGGAGAGGTATAGCACATGTGTGATGCATGGATGAAGCGGGTGATACTTACGCCTTGTGGTGGAGAAGGGCGGTGTGTATGCTGCAGCAGGATGGAGAATCATGGTACATGTGTGCTTCAGGGATGTGTGCTCAGCTGGAGCCTGAGAAGGGGTGCTGGGCTGACGGGGTGTAGTGGCAGCCAGGCCTGTGAGCTCATGGGCTCTGGGCTTGCACACTGCCCAGGGGAGGGTTTACCAGCATGCAGGTGGGTTTATAGTGGGTGGGAAAACACCCTACTCTGGGTTGCCTCCTGTGCCTGACTGTGGAGTGCATGCATACAGAAGGGTATAGCAGTGGCTGTGTGGTAAAGCTGTGAACCTCTTGTCTGGCCTTGGGGAGAGGATATGGGATAAATTCTGGGTTGGCCTCCTCTCAGGTGTCCAGGTCAGCAGAGGGACCCAAGGCTTCCCTGCAGTCCTTGGAGGCTGGGAGGAGAGGTTTATGTTGTCCAGGCTGGAACCATCTGCAGCAGCAGTTTGATGCTGCCTGGCAGCCTGCTCTGGTCTGGCTGCAGCTCTGCCCAGTCTGTGCCAGCACTGTGGGAGAGGCCAGCTTTGAGTTGGTTCAGCCTTGTTCTTCCTTCCTGGTGCCTCTCTTGGGGTTTGCCCTGGGCTCCTTGTACCCATTGAGGACGAAGCTTGGGGGACAAGCCCCACAGTGGCCCCCAGCAAGGCAGCTGCCCAGGCTACCAGAATCAGATTGTGCTCATGGCTCTCAGACTAGCTCCAGCAGTATTGTTGCTACTCCTCCATCCCAGGCCCTCACATTCCCAGAGCATGGGCCGGGGAGCTGTCCTGGGTATGGAGGGCCACAGTGGACCCTGCCTCCTGGAGACGCAAGATGTGGGATGTGCAGAGGGGAGGGTAGAGGCCTGGGCAGAAATGTCTCCTCTCACTGCCTGGGTCGCAGCCCCTCAGCCCCTGGTGGCACAGACCATGGGTTCAAGGTCAGTCTTGTCAGAGCCAGGTTTTTCTTTGTGCTGTGGCCTGAAGACCTCTTCCGTAGGACCCAGGAACTTGTGTGTTCGCCTGCAGGCCTGTGTGGGCTCACGTGTGCACATGTGTATGTCTATGTGTATGTGTGAGTGGCTTCCCCCTGCACTCTGATCCTGGGGCCTAGGTTGAGAGGTTGGGGCTGACCAGTTCTGTACTGGTCACCAGGCTGTGAAGGGCCAGGGTTGGGGGACGCTCAGGGGTACAGAAGACCTCTCTTTCTGCTCATTGTGAGCCTCAGAGGTGACAGAGGCCACATGGCTTCTGCAGGGTTTCCCTCTTCACTCTGTGGCCCAACCAGCCCCTTCTTGCTTATTTCCTGTCTGTCCTGTCCCCATCCAGTAGTTGGCTTGTGCCTCACCTGCAGAAAACAGAGTGGCCATTATCCTTTAGACAATTATTGCCAGAGCTCTTGGTGGACAGCAGCTAACAGGCCTGGCCTTTGGGGTTTAGGCAGGGGTTGCCTCTCCCCTCCAGAAACCCTCTGTCCCTGAGTGCTGGCGTCTGAAGAGGGTCATCTGGTTGGCAGGCAAGTTCCCCTGGGGAGCAGAGCTGCCCAGTGCTGCCCAGTACCCAGCACATAGGTTAGAAGAAGGTGGCTGGAGGGGCCCCCCTGGAGCCTTGTCTCTGGGACTGTATGCCAGGGGCTGTATTGCCTCTGCACTCACTCACTTTGCTTGCTTCCCCTGCCTCTACATGCTGCAGAGAATTTGCCAAGGAGCGAGAACGGGTAGAAAATCGCCGTGCCTTTCTGAAGCTCCGCCGGCAACAGCAGATTGAGCGGGAGCTGAATGGGTACCTGGAGTGGATCTTCAAGGCTGGTAAGAGTCCAAGGGGGCAGGTACTATACTCCTGACCTGCTTGCTGTCTCTATCTCCAAATCTCCTCTGCCTCTGGGGTGGATTTGGTAGAGAGGACCTTTGTAATGAGGAAGCCTTTCTCTCCAGCTCATCCAGAACCCAGGTACCAGGCAGCCACATGGTTCTGAGAACAATGGGCTTTCGGCTGGAAGACTTGGGCGTGGTCCAGCCTAGAGCTGGTTTCTACACCTTAGACCCAAGGGCCCTGCCCTTGACCAGAGCCCTGGCTCTGGCCTCTGGAAGGGAGGACTTTGTAGTTCCCTTCCTTGGTCCTGGTCAGTAGTCTCCTCCATGGGGCCCCTCCCATCTGCTGAGGTTTCATAAGTGCTTCTGGGATCAACTGTCCTAGAGGGAGGTAGAAGGAGAAATATGGGTGGGGTGGGGACATGGGAGGGACTCAGGCACAGGGTACTGTCTGGGTCTTGGTAAATGCGGCCCAGCCACAGGCCTGCCAGCTGCTGGGGTGTTGGGGCAGAGCTGATGGGCACCTCCCAGGTAGGGTGTGCACTCATCTGGGGGCACTGCTGGGGGCCTGTTTTGTTGGGACAGGGCAGGAAGGACCTGACAAAGATTGTGTCCCTTGCAGAGGAAGTCATGCTGGCTGAGGAGGATAAGAACGCGGAGGAGAAGTCCCCTCTGGATGGTAAGCGATTCTTGACATGGAGTGGGCCCTGTGGTCACTGGGATGGCTGCCAGTGCAAGAAGGCTCCGTCAGGCAGCTGCACAATAGGGCTCTGAGCAGGTCAGCTCTGGCCTTGCCCCAGGGGAATGTTTCTGGTTTCCCTGGTGGACAGGCTTCCCCACTGACCTCATTTTGAAGAGAAGAAAAAGCAAACTCATCCTTAGAAGTTCTTGTCTCCTCTCCTCGAGGGTGGCGAGAGGGCCCACAGGGCCTGGAATTGTCCTGCCTCAGCCTCAGCTTGAGCTTTAGGACAGGAGCTCAGGAAAGGCAGAAATCCCATTCTGTGAGGGGATCACCTGCCCTCATCTAAGAGGTGGCCTCAGAGAGTCACCTGGGAGGCAGCTCACAGAGTCTCCACCGCCCTTTGTTTAAAGCAGTGTTGAAGAGAGCTGCCACCAAGAAGAGCCGCAATGACCTGATCCATGCTGAGGAGGGTGAGGACCGGTTTGTGGACCTCTGTGCGGTTGGTGAGTCCCTGGGCTCCCCTGGCTCCTCAGGCTTGCAGCTGCCTGAGGACTGTGCACCCGGCTTCCTCCCTGTCCCAGCCACTCCAGGCTTCCTTCTCGCCCGTATGTGTGCTCGCTCATCCCAGTACCCTGCTGGCTGTGGCTGTGTGGACAGAGTGCCAGGGCTGTGCGGACCCCCAACTATGAAGGGACTGAAGGTCTCCAAGTATTTCTCAGTGCCGTCTGTCTTCCCTGTCCTGGGCCCGGGCCTCTGCGGCCCCTGCTCAGTGCCCTGCTGCTCACTCCGGGAGCAGAGGCTGCAGTTAGTTTATTCTGCAGGGCAGTGTTGAGCTTCCTTAGCACCGAAGTGTCTGGCACTTCTCCAATATGTGTCTCAGGGTGTTCTGCCACACAGGAGCATGCAGCCCTGGTCTCTGCCAGATGCCTGGCATCTGGCTTGTATCAAGCCCACTGGACTTGCTCTCCAGCAGTCTGAGGGAGCCAGAGTTACATGTTTCTTGTTAAATTATTACTCTCAGGAGATAGAACTCTTCAATAGGAAGGTGTGCGCGCGCGCACACACACACACACACACACGCATACTTTCTAACTTTTCTGTTTCCACTCAGATCCAGGGGGCCTGTATTAACCCCTGGAACATACACTTCTTTATTTTCTGCTTGTCTCAACATGCAGGCACACTCGTCCATGTACATGAATAGATACACATACATGTGTGTAGAATTAGTGCAGCTTTTCCTGTTATAAAAATAATTTTCTACGAATTTTCTCATGGATGCTTTTTGGAAACTCATCCATAGTTGATTTTTTTTTCTTTCTTCTTTCCTTCCTCCCCCCTCTTTCTTCCTTTCTTTCTTCCTTCCTTCCTTCCTTCCTTCCTTCCTTCCTTCCTTCCTTCCTTCTCTCTCTCTCTCTCTCTTTCTCTCTTTCTTCCTTTTTCTTTCTTTCTGGTACCAGGAATAGACCTAGTTGATTCTGTAAAAGAAAGTGAGGAGTTTTTTTAAAAAGTCTTTGTCTATGGCTTGTAATCATTTACATAACACTGAAATTACCTGCTATTTATAGGTGAGATAAAACTGTGAACACCATAATCCAAAAGAGAATGAAGGAAGGGAAAGGAGGAAAGGTGAAAGAAGGAAAGAGATAGAACCTGATCAGTCTTGTCATTTGTACCTCATTAGGAAATCTTTCCTTTTCTCTAGGTGTCCACCTTGTTTCTATGGAGCTGCGTTGTATATTTTCTTACAGTTTCTTCCATCTCTCCTGCATTCAGTCGTTTGTGTGTTTTTCATGCAGCAAATGTTTTAGTGCTTGCCTTTGCCACTAACTGAAAGTATTGGGGCTACCACGTTGAACAGAACAGCGAAGTGCTTCCTCTTGTGGAGATTTTGTTACAGAGAGGGCACCAGGCAGTAGAGAAATAGGAAAAACATACAGTAAGTCAGAACTATATGTGAAGGAAGAACAAGAAAGGGGCGAGGTCTGAAGGCACTCGGGGTTTTGGGAGCCTCAGGACGAGGCTTGCCTTTCAGTAAGGAGCTGAAGGAAGCCAGTGTGAGAGGCGGGAAGAGCTTTCCCTAGCAAGGTCAGATCTCGAGGCCAAGTGTGCTGGCCTGGGAGGAGGCTACCGCGAGGACTCAGGCTGCAGGCGGTTTGGACAAGTAAAGGCTCAGGCAGCCATGGGTGGGTCTGCAGGGGCACCATGTGGCTTCTGTGGTGGCAGGGTCTGTAGATCTGTCTAGATACTGGGTTCAAGGTAAACTGAACTGGGGGAGGGGTAACAGCAGGGCGGTGAGTCCAGAAAACTGGAGAACTGGAGGTGGCCAGGAAGGGGATGCTGAATGTTTTGGTTCCAGCTCTGTTTTGAAGACACAGGATTTGATGAACACTTGGTTGTGGGTGGAAGAGAGACATCGAGGACAGGTGATAGGAAGGCCAGAGTAGCTCTGCCTGGGAGGCAGGACTGCAGGGCAGTGAGGTTGTGGGCCCTGGTGTCCACCTCAGTTCAGGACATGGTGAGTTCGGGATGCACGTTGGCTGGCAAGGTAGATGCCACACAGGCATCTGTGCAGGTGCCTGGCTTGTGGCCAGAGCACAGACAGGGGCTGCTGGGGAGTTGTGTACGACCCTGGCTGCCTCAGACCCACTCACGCACCCCACTTCCTTCTGCGTCCCTGTGTGTCTCTTTTTGCTTTTCCTCCTTTTTCTTAATTAGGATCATATGGAATGTACCTATACAGTATCTATATATCTGTATGATCACTTTAGAGAGCCAGATTTTACATTTCTTCTATTTTGATTTTCAATTTTCTTTTCTTTTTTTTTTAACTTTAAAGAAAATAGTACCAAAAAAAGAACAATAGCAAAATACAAACAAAACAAAGCAAGGGCATTAAAAATGATACAGGATTTCAAACCAAATGTAGGGATTAACAGTGATTGTTATATTACGTATCGTTATCTTCAATGAAGTTGCTCAGATTACCAGATGTAAGAATAGAAGAATGATC